CCCCACATGGCCAACCATAGTTTGTGTGTCTCAAATCTGATAGCTTAAAAATCACTCAGACACTTGTGCATGCAAGCCCAAAATCCCAAGAGAGCAAAGAATGTGAACAATCCCAACAGAGAGTGATTTCTCACTTTCTAGCTGTCTCTGGTAAGTGCAAAAGCCCTATAGCAAAATCTAAAATAAGTAAATAACAAAAATGAGTAAAAGTCCCATTTTTAAAAAAGCTTTTCTCTGGGACCAGGAGTTGGCGTAATGGCTATGATGCTGGACCCCTATGTAGTCCAGTTTGAGTCCTGGACCCAGTGACAAACTCATGCCGGGCACACATATGTGTGTGTGCCCAAGATCCCGAGAGGAGAATGAAGGAGAAGACGACTGCGGTGTGGCCATGCCCCCTGGGGGATGATTTCTCTCTCTGTCTCAAGAACGGGCCCTGTAGCAAAAAAACCTCTCCCAAAAAAAGAAAAGGGAAAAAAAATGTTTATCTCTCCAGAAAGAGAAAACAAGAAAGCACTCTCTATGAGAAATAGTCATGCTACAGCCCCTTGTACTCCATTTCTTCTTTTGGGATAGACTGGAAACAATTCTTTTTAACCCAGATTAAACAAGGCTAGTGTCCACAATAAATTGTTAAAACACAGGTAAAAATATATCATAATTTAAAAATTAATCTTATAAAACAACAAAATGCTGAAAACATGCATTATATAGCCAAAGTGAAGTTTGAAACTCATGACAAACATCCCTTTTCCAAAAACCAACCTCATAAAAGGAAAATTGTAAGTTTTATATGAAAAGTATCTTATTTTATTAAAACAGTGCAAATTAAATTTGGCCCATTTTAAAAATCACATTTTTTATTGTTTTATTTTATTTTTTTAAAGAATTACTTAATTTTATTTATTCCTTCATTTTTTTTTTTTTTTAATTTGACAGAGAGACACACAGCGAGAGGGGGAGAAAGTAAGCTACCAGGTCCAGGACTCAAACTGTGGTCTGCCATGTGGTAGTGTCCAGCACCTTAACCTTCATGCCACCTACTCCCTTTATTATTTTATTTTGAGCCTTTCGTTATAGGGTACATGCACTCCCCAGAGAGTAAACAGAGAGGGAAAATGAGAATCAACCCCTGGGAGGGATGGTCATAACACAATCCCTTCTCCTTTGTTTTCTGAGAATTTGAGCACATACATGTACGGTATGCTCACAAATCTGGCATAAACTAAAAGCTACTGTTATAGGACTCGAACCATAGTCAATCATATGGAAATCAAACTGCCTTCACCAGCACACCACCTGTTAGCCCCTAAAAACTTTTTAACTGCAAGAGTATTTTTGTTAAAATTTTATTAAATAGGGGGAACCAGAAGTTAGCTTAATGGCCATGTCGCTGGACTCCCACAGTCGACCACGGTTCGCGTCCCGGACCCGGTGGCTTAAAACTCACACCGGGCGCATGTGCGTGCGTGCCCAAGATCCCAAGGGAGAATGGAGAAGGGATTATGGCATGGCCATCCCCCCTGGGGGTTGATTTCTCACTTTCTGTCTCTGTCTCTCTCTGTCTGTCTGGCGAGCGCATGCGCCCTACAGCGAAAACCTCTCCAAAAAAAAAAAAAATTTATTAGATAGGACTAGCAGGTGGTTTAGAGGTGGAGGCAGCTGGATCTCACATGGCTGACTTTGCAGGTAAAGTCCTAAACCCCAGCAGCCTGAATACTACATACATGCCAGACATGTATGCATGTATGCTCAAAATCCTGAGAGGACAATGGAGGAGAGGGAAACTACAACCTCCCAGGGGTATGATTTCTCACTTTCCTTTCAGTGTCTCGCACAAGCACAAGCACGCATACAACAAACTATTAAAAAGAACTGTAAGATACATGATCTGTATATGTTTTCTCCTAGTGTGTGTAGCCTGTTTTTTTTTTCTTTTTTTGGAGAGATTTTCGCTATAGGGCGCGTGCACTTGCCAGACAGAGACATAGAGACAGAAAGTGAGAAATCACCCCCCTGAGGGGGTTCCCTGTGTTTATTTTCTTAATGACATCTCTGAAGTGCAAAAATTAGTGCATATTTACTGTTGTAATTTTTTTTCCTATTGCTACTGTCTCATTTTGTAGCTAAAACAATACCAAGAAAAATATTTTACCATTTTCATTGAGAAAATGGAGCAAACGTTGAAAAGCCAACAAAAAAATTTAATGGTAAAATTTACTTTAAAACTTGTTTTCAAATGTAACATTTTTGTTGTAATGTATTTGCTACAGAAATTCTCTTTATTTTTTTTTTTAATTATTTTATTGGTACCAGCAGTTGGCGTAATGGCTATGTTGCTGGACTTCCATGTAGTCCACAACGGCTGAGTCCCGGACCCAGTGGATTAAACTCACGCCAGGTGCCCAGGTGCTTCTGTGTGTAGGGCCAAGATCCCAAGAGGAGAATGGAGAAGGGATTTGGGTGTGACAATCCCCCTTGGGAAGATGATTTCTTACTTTCTGTCTCTCTTTCTGGGGAGCAAAAGAGCCCTATAAAAAAAACCTCTCCAAAAAAAAAAAAAAAATAGAAAAAGGATGTTATTTAACTTTCTGTATTTGTTTGTCAGCCTTGTGGGAGTCTAGAGCCCTGAACCACCACGCCCCCTGCTGGTCCCAGAAATTCTCTTTACTTTAGGAGAGACATCAAATATTAAGAACATACACACACACACACACACACACACACACACACACACAAAAAAAAAACTAGGAAAATAAGATGATGAATAATCATGCCTGTAGGTATGTAGATAAAGTTCAGAGAAAGGAATAAAAAAAAGTTACGCTTCAACAATCTCATTTTTTAAGTCTTATAAGCACTTTAAGCTCACCCTTGAAACACCAACTGCAAATACTTCAGTCTTTCATTCTCTTGAAATACTGGAACAATAAAGTTTAAAACATGAAAGTTAAAACCCTATTAATAAGTTTTCAAATTGAGAAAATAAAGGCCAACAAATGGCATGATAGTATGTCACTGGACTCCTACACAGCCGACTGAGGTTCAATATCCTGACCGATTGCTTCCAACTGAGGTTCAATTTCCTGACCAGTAGCTTGAAACTCAAAATGTGTTTGCAGGTGCCCAAGATCATCAGGGAGGCAGGAGGAGAAGGGATTATACAGTAGTAGTCCCCCCTGCAGGGTCACTTCTGACTTTCGTTCTCATTCACTCTCTCTCTCCCCACAAGTGTCCCTGCCCTAAGACAAAAAAATAAGTTAATAATTATTAATTAAAAACACCACAACAAAAAACAAATATTGACTCTTTTATTCAACTAGTCTTTAAACAGTCCGGCAATTGACAAAGCTGGTAGTTCATCCAAAGGTAACAGTCCTAGAAAAACATTTAAGTTCATGGTCTATCTTCTTAAGTTCAAAGCTGTAGATTTAGATATCCCTGCTGGCTTAAGTTAACTAGTATTTATTCACTACATAATTACTAGTGATAATTACCCCTAGTAAAAGACTTGTGGAAAATCTCCTAATCAAACCACCTCAAATTCTTCCTTAAAAGAAGGTAGGGCCAGCCAGTAGGCCATTACAACACCTGGATTGTACACAGCCCCACTGCAGCTGCTTCAAGTTCCTTAGTAGAGGCAGAAAAGTCTGCGAATCTTGGGCTAGCTCTTGCGCCCAAAATCCCAGAAGGAAAATGGAGAAAGGGCTTGGTTAGGGGAAGCTTTTGTATATTTCACTTTGCCTCTACCTAAGTTTAAAAAAAAAAGTAGCAAAGAAAGGCAGTCTAGTATTACATGGATTTAAAGGATAAATGGCTTCCCAGGTTGGGACCAGCAGGTGATGTGGTGGTTGAAGTGCTGGACACTCCCACATAGCTGACCATGGTTTGAGTACTGGACTTGGCAGCTTGCTTTCTCACTCTTTCTCTGTCTCTCTTGTCAAATTAAAACGAATGAATAAATGAAATAAAATTAAAATGGCTTCCCAGGTAAAAGAATATTTCCTAAAAAATGCTTCCTAATAGCGCAATTATTTGTCATGTATAAATTTTTATGTTCATTCCTTTGTAAACAAAAATTTCAAAAACTTGTAGAAAAAATGTCACAGTGGAAAAACTGTTAAAATGGGATTCTATATATAAATTATCTTTTTAAGTAATTTATTTGTAAATTAGTTTTCACAGAACTCCATAAAGTTGCATACACTGTGTTCCTTAATTCTAAGAATTTTAGAATAAAGAAAAATAAAACTAAAAATAACTTTTCATTACAAACGCCAGGTTTTACAACTAACAAACACACACACGCTGTTACTTACACAAACAGAAACAGTGAAAGGCAGTAGGTCCAAACTTTTGTAATCGATTTCCTAATAAGAACATAGTTCATTCTCTTTGACCCTCAGTGAAGTGACAGTGTAGGGGGTACAGCGAAAACAAGGTTAGGCCTCACCACAGAAGCAGGAGAAAAAGCTGCGGTTACCGCGGTAAAAGGTCCTGATGGGGCAGGGCTGGGGCCTAGTTCTACTTCTACTTCTCCACCTCAGTTTGAGATCTGCCTCGTGTTCTCAGTTCTATCCGACGAGAACCATTATACAGAAAAGTAGGCGGCGTCTTACTCCGGCATTTGCTGAACGCAGGCTCTACGGATTCCTCCCACTCTAGTTAGCGTACTATTAAAAAGGTCGGGGGCGGCGGACGGCCATTTTTAAAAGCACGGGCATCAGCGTCGCCCGCCGATCCCTGCCCCCCAAAAATGCCAGGCTGGCACGGAAAAAATATGCTAACACTCATAAGCCCCAACCCCCCTACTCCCGCTCAACGCTGAAGAGAGACGCCGGCTGTAACTCAAACTAAAGCTCCTCCGCCCAAAAATTCGAGCACGCAGCGGCGGGAGGCAGTTAACCGCTCCGGTATCACCCTTAACGAACTACAAGCTGCGGAGGCCGACTCTGGCCTATGTACTTTAAACTTGGGTTCCGCCGCGACTACCCTCTTACCTCTTAATTTAGTGAGGGAACGCACAAAGTGCTCAGAAGGACTTCAGGTGGTACATTTCTCCTGCGTCACCACCTCCTACTTGTCCCGAACCCGGGCCTTTTCTTCCTTCGCCTTTGTAAGCCTGGGCCCTTTACTCGACTCTTATAGCTCACGCTGACACCAGTACTGGTCGCGGCGGCTGCCTCCGGCGAAAGAGAGGCAGG